CACACACACACACACACACACACACATACAGGAAGCAAGTGATGCTCAAAGACAGATGTATCCTGTAATAAACAGGTCACCTGGCTACAATGTATTCATGAAAACCTGCATGTCTAAGGTAGCAGTGCACAAACAGGACCGGAGTCAAAATGAAATTTAAAAAGAAAATGTAGACATTCAGATACAAATTAACTATCAAATGTAGCCATTAYTACATAACAATAATGTGACAGTGAGCATCACTGATGCATGCGACATTCACCAGCGGCAACAATGAAGGATCCTGTAGTTGTGGGTCTTTGGAATAATTTCTAAAGCAGAGTTTGAAAGAGAGCTAAAACACTCAGAGGAAGGAGTCACACTACACACGAGTCTACATCATGATGCAACATTCAAATAAGAGTACAGGACAACAGACTTGTAAAGTGCTTTACATTAAAAAATAAGTTAAACATCAAAGACAACATGAAACAAAATATACCAAATCAAATACAATAAAACCAAAAACAAACAAAAAACATTATCAAATATTAAAAGCCTTATTAAAAAGTAAGTCTTAAGTAAAGATTTAAAAGAAAACAGTGAGGTAGCCTGTCTAATATTTAGTGGAAGTGCATTCCACAAACTGGGAGCCCTGACCATAAAAGCCCTCTCTCCTTMTGTCACCAGTCGAGCTCTGGGAACTGATCTTAGGTGACGAGACGGTATAMATGGGTTGAGAAGTTCAGAAAGATAAGATGGCGCCAGACCATTCAAAGATTTAAAAAACAAACAATAAAATTTTCAAATCAATTCTAAAAACCACAGGGAGCCAATGTAAAAAGGAGCGAACTGCAGTGATGTGCTGATATTTATGGRATCGTGTAAGAACTCCAGCTGCAGTGTTTTGTATTAACTGAAGACGAYTGAGAGAACTTTGAGGCAGACCAGTCCTGTAAATATGATTTAAACCAGTTTATGTAGAGATTGGTCATACTTCTTTTTAACACTGAAGAGCTGTTGACCCAAGGTCTTGCTCTGAAGCATGAACTAATAAAAGACTTAATAAAGGTAGTTTAAGAACTATAAATGGCCACAGTATCACCAGTCCAGAAACAAAAGACAAACTGTGTGGAGGTACTTTGAAGGGGTTCCTCGTTGTGTCTTTAAAGTATCTGCATCATCAGAGATACTAACAGCCCAGAGCTCAAACTCTTTTTGGCACAGACGTCTGCATAGGTTGCATTTTGTCATTTAGAGACAACAGCCAGAAAGACAAACTGAGATTGGAGGGTTAAGACTAAAAGGTCCAGCTAAGTATCATTTATGCTACAGCCAAAATGAGAAGCCATGCAAGCAGATGACAGGGTACAAGAGCATGTACAGTATGCTACAGAAAGAAGGGTTCTATCCCAACTATAGCAGCTTCTCTTTGCAGAGATAATGGAGCCACTAATTGTTGCTTTTGTCATTAAATATTTTAAGAACGTCTCATCAGGTACAGTATAATTCAAACCAAGAACACCCTATAGTAGCTGTTGTATATCTACTTTAAAGTTCTCAGTCACTGGCAATAAATCTTTATCAATAGATCAGCCTCTCTTAAAACCAGGATGGTTTAGCCTGAGGAGGTTGTTATTTTAAAGAAACCCTGGCATTTGTCTTTATCCAACCTTTTCAGTTTGACCAAAGTTCAGAGCAGGCAGCGTTTGGAGCAGGACTGTGGTCTAAAAGGTGCCTGAGGCGAGAGAAGCATTTATAACCTACCTGAATGGTAGCAGAGAAAAATATGTGAAAGGGAAGTTAGAAAGAATGGATATTCCCCAGCATAAGGCACAGCGTCATGGTCAACACAAACACGAAACCAACTGTCAAGCACAGTATACAAATTTTACAAATACTGCACAAATACAAGAAGAGTTTTGATGCCTCAATACTCAGCAGTCAGGAGGGTAATAAAGAAAATATCTGCAGATGATTGGAGAAGATGTAGAGAAGGAAGTAGGATTGAACATGTACTGTATATATGTATGGATAAGGTCAAATATTCTTGTTGGGTAATGAGGAACAGAAATTGGTGACGACTTCAACGAAAACAGAAAACTCATTGGCATCATTAGTCTCTTTTGAGGATAGAGATCTAATAAAAGCTGGAGTTGAAGTGGCAGAGGTTTTTGGAGTTTGTGCTATTACTGAATGAAAGACAAGTGAAATAGTTTCAGAAACAATCCCATTAGTTTTTGTAATATTTTTTTGAACAGTTTCGTTGTCTGTGGGAGTCTACAACTGTTTAAGGTCAAATGTGTTGATCAGCGACAAGAAGTGGGCAGAATTCTGACCATCTATGGTCGGTCTTGTCCAAGAAGAAGAGAACAGTCGTGTTCTAGAGAGGAGGACAACAGATTTTCTGTCTCGCCAACAAAGCTGTCCAAATGTCCTGGTGGGCGATGAATGACAACCAAAGAAATTTTTTGCAGTTAGCATAGCAGTTCAGCTGTGTTTATAACTGTGTGAATGTGATGAAAATGTTCCTGTGAAAGAAAATTATGTAATATCAGCTTTAATTATTTATTTATTTTTCAGACATTGTTTTCCTGCAGTCTCTGATGGATTTTCCTTTGCTAACATGTCCACCGCTAYTTTCTCAGATTACTGGGCTTCAACCGGATCCCTCCGGTGGTTGGTCGACTGATCAATGTCACCACAGAGATCAGAGATATTACCACTGACCACAAGCTCTCTAGAACCTTCTTTACTTCCCCTGGTATGTGTTTGGATGCCCACATGCTCCTCATGTGTTACAACAAAGAGAACTGATTTCACTAAAAACCCACAACTTGACCACCCTCTTTAGCTGGAAACGTGTGTTTCTACGGCCAGTGTGAATACTACTGTTCAACAGAGAACCCTGTCTGCGGTCGGCCACATGCGCTGGAGGTTTCCCTGTCTACCATGCTACCTGACCTCACCCTTGCWCCCCGCAGGTCCTGGAGGTCACCGTGGAGGCGATCCTACAGTCGGACAAAGCTGGCACAGTGGGTACACTTTGTGTATCTTGGTCTCTTTCATAGTAAAATACATTTTAGTGTATGTCTTAGTCAGAAAAATATTTCCTTGATAGACATTTACTGTTATCTTCTTGTTGTTGGTATGATGATTTATGTCATGAACCCTCTACCAGCAGCAGATTATTTGGAAGTTAAAGGTGAACATGGATCTGCTATGAAATTAGTCAGCATGCAAAGATTGTTAAAGACTGTATGTKTATTGTGGTGTCTGTCTGGCTTTATACAAAATGATAGGCTTTTACTGCCCTCTAGTGGTCGCACCGAAGAATTGCAACCCAGTTCTGAATGTGTGGCTAATGGTGTGTTTGTGTTCTTAAAAAATAAGAATAAAAAAATAAGTAGACTACCACTGAGGTACACGATTTGACACAACCTGATGTGTGCATTTTCTAAATTTATGAAGGCAAAATGTTAAAAATAAAATTAAATGTTGAAGAATACAAACAATTATTTATAACCATTTTTAGTAATACTGTGGTGTGGCTAGGCAGTATTATGGCCCGGTTTTAATTGAGGTTATTGACAAATATCCCTAGTAAAATAATTTGTTTTGTCCACATACTTCATATCTTTTGTGTTTATTTAATTATGCATTATTCTGATAATTGGGATATGTGGCACTAAACACAAAGTTACACCTTTTTGAGATGTGTTGCTGCCATTWTATTAAATGGGAGACTGCAATGAAATGATTCAATCCAACCTGCTGGCTTCTTTTTTTTATAAGTGTATATAATAATGTGTAATATAGCCTGATGGCTTCCTTAGACTGAATATTTTTTAGTGTCCTGAGACGGCATTAGTTGTGACTTGGCGCTATAAAAATAAACTCAATTAAAATGAACTAAATTCAAAATTACTTTTTTTATTTCCAAATAACTGCACCATTTGTTAATTTAAATATATGATTTGTTTACTATGTCTCACTGTGAATAAAACATGGCTTTATGTCATTTTCAAGCCACTGCATTCTGCTTTTACTTGTATTTTACACAGCGTCCTAACTATTTTGAAACTGTTGTGCTGCGTAAGCGTGTGAATAAGCTAACAACGACAAGCATTATGATGAGGGTTTTAGAAACCGGATGCAAACCATTGCAGTTTTTAACTGAATGTCACTTCACTGTTTGCCTTAGGTGGGAAAAGGACCCAGCTTACTGTGACACGGTGAAACAGACCCCTCCTTACAACACCGGCACCAGACTGGTGGATCTCATAGACATGGCTCTTCTGGATTTTCTCATGAGTTCGTTATTTCTGTTTGCATTTTTAACAGCTTAATCTGTACCTCTACTTTCGAAGATATATTCTAAATCAGGCTATCCACAAGTTTAATGGAAAAAAAGTCATAATTATTGGTTATTTGTTAATGAAAAGAGAGTAAAATACTCATGTTTTTTTTTATTCAAAGGCAACATGGACCGTCATCATTATGAGACGTTTGAGAAATTTGGAAATGAGACTTTTCTACTTCACTTAGACAATGGACGAGCGTGAGTAGATTACCTTTAAATGATCAATAATATAACCTGATTAAACCAGGTATTATAAGGTACACACCAGGGTACATACCAGGTAAGTACCAAGCTGTATGATGTATTGCTACCATTAACAAAAAAAAACTATTTTTTACTCAGTTGGTGATCATAGTAAATGTGTTGTTTTCAAAATCAGTTGTAATWTTTGTCAGGTTTGGGCGTCACTCTCAAGATGAACCATCTATTCTGGCACCTCTGACTCAGTGCTGCAGGTAAATCTGTCAGTTGGGAAATTATAGATCTTTACCTGTAAAAACAAAAACGAGCCTTTTGTAAAACTCTGAGATACTACCTTCTCGGTGTCACTCCTCTGCTTGTGCAGGATCCGTCGCTCCACCCTCCTGCGTTTGCRTCTCTTGTCCCTCCCTGAGTTTCGTCTGAGTGACGTCTTGCGGGAGTCGTTGGCTCAGGATCCTCTGGCAGCCGTGGCCCCCCTTCTCTCAGAAGCCCACCTGTCTGCTCTGGACCGCCGCCTCGCAGCTGTTCTGCAAGCTGTCCAGTCTTGTCAGGAGAACCACAGCGATGTTATTTATAATGATTTGGTACTAAATGATCAGAACTATGATCATTAGTTGGCTCTGGGAAAACAACAAGAAGATAATAAATTATATATTTATATTTATAGCACCTGTCTCATAGTCGGTGTTGTTTTCATGTTTCTTAGTAACCAGTCAACATTCAAGATACTCTGACTTTTGAGGTTTTTGTTATTATTATTTTTTAACATTTCAGTAAAGTATCCTCAGTGGGATTCGTGCGGATGCCAGTGAACGCAGCGCAGATCTCATTCCTTACGGGCCTAATTAGCTCCACTGATTTCAGCTTTGTTAATGAATATTAAAGTCAATAATTAATTAATGAGTAACCTAAAACATGAATTTAAACATTCTGAAAGCAAATGAACAAGACATTTAGTTGWTCATCATTTATGCAAAATTCTGTAAGTTTAGTTTTCTTTTTGACTCACTTTACTTAAAGGATTATTTCAGATATTTTTGAAGTGCACTTTCAGTGGTTCGTCAAGCATGGTTGTGGATATGATTTGGGACTAGCAATCTATAAAAATACACTCAAAATAAGCAAATTAAGCCTTCATTTAATACTTTGGTTAAATATGATCATGATAGCTGACTCAAGAACATCTGAAGATATTCTAAGTGTTCAGTCTAAACACTTTCAAACCAAACCAAATACATTTTTAATATTAAAATTGTAAATGAAATCAAAACGTAGTATGAACTTTGTTTTGGGCTGTCATCATTTTTCACCCTGTCAGATCCATGGAAACATCACTTCAAAACAATTTTCAGTCCTATCACCTTGACCAAATTTTAATTGCTCGCAGAGGTTCATTCATTGATTACTACCTGAAAGTTTCATTAACATCTGTCCTGTGGGGTTCTTGAGATATTTTGCTAACACACACACACACACACACACACA